GAGGGATTGATAGTGACCAAAATCTATCTAGAGCAGTAATAGACAAGAAGTTGTGAAGAACCATGTTCGCTCACGTAGTGACGGGACATCTCACATAAAAGCGTATCTGAGAACAGATATGAACAGTCAGGTACCTTTTATTGACGCAGTAAGTATACTCGGTCGGATGATACGAGAAAGGAGATGGGCACTGCCAACGAATTCCTCTCTTGTCCTTAATCTCCAGCTAGAATAAGGATTTCCTAAGCGTAGATTACATGTGGCCCAACGTCGAAAGTATGGGGAACCCAATGAGGAAGTCGCTACTCAGTCGTAATTGTTCTAGCGAAATAAGCTTGCTAAGCATTTCACCACGTCGAGGTCCCCAATGATTTTCTAAACGTAGTTTAGATGTAGCACCAGGCCGAAATTATGGGGCACCCAGTGAGTATCGAACTCTCTACTCTGACGTAATTATTGTAATGAGACAATCTTGCTCACTACTACACCACGCCGTGGTGCCCTAATTTCAGAGAGAATAATACAAAGAAATCGCGAAAATTTTGATAAATTATTTCGAAGACAGAATAACTACCAGAATTTGTTATCGGTCGACAGAATTTTAGCGTAAGACACGCCGATGACAAAATGGAGTCGGAGAAAAAACTACAAAACATTTCGAGGACAAAGTAGAACAAGAAACGGAATTCGCATCATTTATTTATTCTCAGAAGCACTAAAATAAACAAGGCATTTTTGGTTTTAAATCTTATAATTAATTGCTTATAATTTGATATCCGCTGATATTTTAATGGGACAGTTACCAAGTTTTTACTGGGCTGAAAAAAAAAAGAAGCTACTAACATTGGAATAGTTGGTGTATGTCTGCTAAATTTGAGAAATAGACTCTTTCGGTGGGCCGGGGAGATTTTCGGATATTTATAGTTGAATGGCAAAAGAGACAAAAATACGTTACACCGACATATAAAACAGCAAAATTATATATCTACATATATCACCCTCTTTATGTTTTTAAACAGGTGGAATATAGACATTTACTAAATTTTGTTAATCTTCCTTTCGTTTGTATGTAAGAAAGAAAATATATTCTCGTATTAACTCCTTTCCTTGTATAGATGTGTATATACGTTTGTTTCTTTTTTTTATTTATTTTTTTTTTTTTTTTTTTGGTGGGGTTGTTGCTTTTTTATTGTTGTTGTTTTTCCTTTTTTTCTATTTTTATTTTTTAACACCGGATGTAACTTTTTCAGACATGGACGAATAAACACGTCTATAACTTAACGTTCAAAAACCAGCTATAGATGTCTATCTTGATTTTTTTTTTTATGTCCTGAGCTAGAAACTAGTCCTACTATTAACTACTAATACGTCTGGTAGAGGTGTTAGCCCTCACTCGGATACTTCAATGTGCCTCAGTTTCTTAGTTACTATATTAAAAACAAATAAAAAAAATTTCGTGTGAAAATGAAATTTTTTTTCCTCAAAATAATTGACGGGGAAGTTGTTAATCTCTATTTTTATCATTTCATCTCAAGCAAGGCAATAAAGCCACTAAGACGCTAGGGGGTTACTGTGAGAGAATTTGAGAAAAAGAAAACGTTATTAAGAAGAGGGAAGAATAAAAGAACAAGATGGAGGGTAATAATTGACATATTTACATTTTTGAAAATTAAATCTAACTCCAAAGCCAGAAGAGATTTCCCCAACCGAAAAATGCGAGAAAAGGAACTATTAGCGTAGAACTTGCGGTTATATGTAGCCATTTTAACAGTAAAATGATAAGACCTTGCCGCCAATCATATATCTTGCCGTACGATAAAATTCATAGTCTAGGTACCAAAGAGGAAAGCATATCAGAACAATTACCATGAAAATATTTGTAGAAAAGGCACAGCAAGGCTACATTATGACAATTGGAAAGTCAGTGAAGCTAAGATGCCAGGTCAAAACCAGTAACACTAGAGATACTTCTTTGGATTTTATCAAGAATCTCTAAATACATAGACGAACCAAAGCAGATATAACAGCAATATTCAATGAATGGATAGCTGGTAGACTTATACAAGTGTAAGATTGATTCTGGCGAGAAAACTTATCTATCACGATACAGTGAACCACCATTCCCAGCAATAGACCTAGCAAATGATTCAATATAAAAAAAATTGCTGAGGACAGAAATCGATCCGGTTAATTGGAAGACGAAAAAAAATCCTTCGAAAACACCAGGAGACAAATAGAAGAGACGAGGAGAGGCTAAAGAAAAGCCCGACCTCTCCATCCTCTGAAACGGATGGCAGTAGACGTCTCTTCAGATCCAACATAGGAGCAAGGCTTTCATGCTCAAAGGCGTTTCTTCTTCTCATGCAAATTGGAGAAGAGCAGTCCCTTCAGATTCAACATAAGATTCAGTTCACATATAAGTAAATGTCAATGAGTACCTCAATACTCGGCAACGACCTCCCACAGCCGGCGATATATCAGACACACACACGTGTGTGTATATATATATATATATATATATATATATATAATTTTGAAAACAGTGTCTGCTGCTATAAATGCATTGCTCTTCAAGTACGAATTGAGCTCTCTTAGCTACTGGCGTATTTCATATGGAAAAATGATTAAATCCGTACATAGTACTGCGCTTAAATTCGTAAAGTTTAGATACCAGAGACAAACGTTCATCAAAACAATTATAATAAAAGTATTCATAGAAAAGGGAGAAGGAAGCTACGTTACGGCGGTGGAAAAAAGAATGATGCCGAGATGTCAGATCAGAGCCAATAACATTGCAAATTCTTTTGATTTTTATCAAGGATCTCTAAATACGTAACAGAAGCACAAGACCAGACTGAATTATTTTATGAGATTTTAACAATATCTGCAATATACATATATATATATACACATATATATATATATATATATTACCTAAAGAGCCCGAACCTATCTACCGAAGTTTCACCTTCCTGATCCTCAGAATAATTCTGAATAAAGACGGTTGATTTAAACGAATTTTTATTCATAAAATGTCCTTTGGGCCAACCCTCTTTAGTCAAAATTATCCTGAAGATCCGAGACGTGACATCTAGGTAGATAGGTTCGGGCTCTTTATGTATTCTAATTTTGGTATACTTAGTGTATTGAGCACTTTTACATATTAGCTGTTTTTTTTTTGTTTTTTTTTTTTGGTATGTGGGATAGACATTACGGTGCTGGTTAATTGTTTTCAAGCAGAACGAATGTTTTTAGTCTTTTCTTTTTTTTTTATTAAATACTTTTTCCCAGATATCAGTTTGTGTAATTTTTTTTACATCGCCAGTGTTATATATATATATATATATATATATATACACACACACATACATATATACTATACACACACACACACACACAGATATATATAATAATCGACGTTTCGAGATTCGACGTATGAGTATCAAGCAGATCAGTTTCCAGGAAACCGACAGCCCGACAGCGGCACATGACATTTGATTATAGTGGTGAAGGTTTCGTGCAGGACCATCCACACTTTTTGAAGGGACGAATACAGAGACTTGGTGCACTACGTGCCACAAGGTTCCCAAACAACCGCCCTCAGGTTTTGAATTCAGAGTTGTCCTTCTCCTAGACCAGTTGCCATCCAAGGCTATAGAACCCAGTCTGTCCTGCTATTTTACCCATAGCTGGAGGAAGAGGATTCATACCTTTCCCCAGGGTATTAGCACGTAAGTGAATGTAATGGATTCAACTGTAACTCGGCTCTGCGATTCCTCAATCCTAGCCGCTATCCATTACTCCACCGTGCCTTATATATATATATATATATATATATATATATATATATGAGAGAGGAGCATATGATATATAAACATTTATGTATCAGAACAATGTTAGGTAAATTAGTGTCATCTAATGGGGAGTTTCGATATAATCTTTCCACTTCATGTCAGCGGAAAATGTTAGCCCATTTAACTTTTTCAAAATTAGATACATTTCAAAATTGCTCGAGTTGATTTGAAACTAAGTAACTTACAATAAAGTCAAATTGAAAAAAGTTCTAAGCGCGCTCAGCTATAATTTAAAGCGGTTTTTCTTTTATGCTAGATTGTTCCTTTGTTATTTAAGCTAAGAAGACCACCTACGCTGGATGAATCCAGCTAGCCTTGCGCTTACCTTTGCTATTATCTGTTCTTTTTATATGAGTATTTATTCCTGTTGTTTACGGAAATTGTGGCACAAGGCCGAGGGGAGAAAAAAGGGAGGGACTGGTCTTCATTAGCTGTCCTAGTCGGACTGACAAACCATTCATTCATTGCAGTTTACCCATACACCCCAAGGACACACCCATCACAACTCAATCCTGTATATACCACAATATCACATATTCACAGGTGACCCCTACAAAACACCCCATGACATAAAAATGTGAAAGCCTATCATGTCCATTTTGTTACAAATATATATAAACATTTAGTGATTCATGAAGTGATGGGTGGAGGGAATTAACCCCAAAACAGACTAAAAATATAACACAAACATGAAACTAAAACAGAATAATGTTAGTAGGACCCGTCTCCCCTTCAAAATAATAAGAATGGCGTCTGTCTTTTTTTATATGACCGGCTTCCCTAAAAGTGGTGCAGATAGATGTATTTATTTAATTTCCTTTAAATAGTTTTCATTGGTTAATAAGACATTTTTTTGTTTTGTTTTAATGATGAGCCGATGCCGATTGTTTTGTGTTTCTTGTTGTTTTTTTTTAATTTCCTGTGTGCTTCAAGCTGTTAGATTGCAAATATCCGTTATGATTTGATTTTATATTTATTATCGATCTGTTAATATATAACTTGAATATTTTTTGCCGTTCTTTTCATTTATTTGGCATTTTTTGTAGGGTTCTTGAGTTTTTCAACACAAATTCGGACGAATACTCTGTGGTGTTCACATCAGGATGTACGGCTGCTCTGAAACTTCTCGCTGAGACATTTACCTTTATGGATGTCGAAGAATCAAACAAAACGGAAACAGATGGCGGCTGTTTCTGTTACCTCCTGGATAATCACACTTCCGTTCAAGGAATGAGAGAAATCGCTATCGACAAACGGGCCAAAGTCATTTGCCTAAATACTGACCAGTTGTACCAGGCGGACCTTTCCGATGCCTACTTACAATCTCAAGACGGAAATAACAACCGGGGAAATTCCTTATTTGTTTATCCGGCGCAGTCTAATTTCTCAGGACACAGATATCCTTTGGATTGGATAGCCGACGTCAAATCGAAGAAGTTTCCATTCCAACACGACTTCTCTGAGGATTCCTGGTTTACGTGTTTAGATGCAGCATCCTTTGTAAGCACGTCTCATCTCGATTTACAGGCCATCAAGCCTGACTTTCTTGCCATATCGTTCTACAAGATTTTTGGGTATCCGACTGGACTGGGTAAGTACAATGTTTTTTTGTTTTTTTTTTCTCGTTTGTCTTTTACTACAGATGTCAAAAGGATATCTTGCTTGAATCATCTTTTAAAATCAGTAATTCGTTCATAAATCATTGTATTCAGATTTTTAAAAAAAATCCTAAGCAACTCCAATATTAACGTCCACTGAATCAGCGAAAAAGAGATAACAGAAAAACAAGAAATTAAACAAAGTTACTAATTATATAATTATATAATTTTATACTGTATTCAAAAATTCTACCAATTAATACAGTGTGTTCTAGGAATCACCCTGTGATTTAAAAATCTAGCATTTTCAACTTTTTTATTATTCATAAAAAGCTTTTATTTTTTTTTGGGGGGGGGGGGGGTTCTGTAGCTTTTTTCATAATAATGTTTAATAAATCTGAGCGAAACCTTCCAATTTCTATACAACCCTTATCCTTGCGTATAGGATATTTTTGGTAAAAGAAAAAAAATTACGAAAAAATAGTTAAAAGAACAAAGAAATGTTTGCGGTAACATTAAATTATATTGGCACACAAAAAAGACAGACGACATTAGCCGAGTTGAAAAACAGACGATCAATTTATTGTTAACACACAAAAAATAAATGGCACATATTAAGTGTTTTTGTGTCAAATGATAGCCAATAACACGTATTTAAATTTTCAATGAAAATGAAATCTACCTTTTTTACAATTGAATTTATAATGCTGCACAAGGTCCACAGAAAATAAAACTACATAAAATGAAGAAAAAGAGAAATACTTCTCAGAATATTTTTCAAAGAATAATTTGGTACCATTTTCAAAGCAAAATCCGTGGTAACAGCGAAGAATACATCAAGCACACCAGTCGAAGATATTTCTTTGATGTGGGGACAACCTTGTTGTTCTTTTCAATTCTTGTCTGGTGGTTGTCTAAATTCATCTGCGTTGTTTACTTTCTGGATCGGGGCGAACTGGATTCCTGCAGATGTTTGTCGACTACGAAAAATCAAATCCAATGACCCTCTTCAATAACTTACAGGTAGACACCAACTACGCTGCTTGGAATTGGTTTTGAACGAAAAACAAAGACAGCTGAATTACCACCAATCAAAATTTACCATAAATATTTTCGAAATTGAAAAATTAATCAAGACCCTGACGTAGCGTCCGGTTTCTCTTTGAAAGCATCATGCGCACTCGCGCAGCTTAAATTTGTTATATGAGTTACTAAATTGTCTGCAGATTATTGTTGCATATAGACTACTTAAGGTGTACAAAGAATAATAAGTAGGCATTGGATCAGGAGAAAATGGCAGTCATAAAATTTCGGAATTTCACGGTAAGTAAGAGTTTGGTTAAATCCAAAATAAAATTTCAATATTTTAGTCTTGTTCAGTTGTGAATTTTCTCAAGGATAATTTTCGTATGTTAATCTAAATTCTGGAAAAAAGAACTAAAACTTTCATTATTTACATTATTAGGACTGTTATCATTTTCATTGCCATATTCACAACGTTTCGGTCGTTGTACATTCCGGCCTTCTTCAGGTGATTGGAATTTCGTACCGAACTCTTTATTTCGTTCACCGGTGTAGATTGTTTTAGTTCCACGTATCATGCCTCTTCCGGACGAAATAAAGAGTTCGTTTCGAAATTCCAATCACCTTTAGAAGGCAGGAGCGTACAACAGCCGAAACGTTGTGAATATGGCAATGAAAATGAGGATAAGTCCGAATAATGTAAATAATGCAAGTAATCCTAAGAGATCATCCCAGAAAAATAGATATAGAACTAAAAGTGATGAAAAACATGACGTGCCATTTTTAAATACCCAGGTAATTTTAAAGACACACTGTAGAAGCCAGTTTCAATCAAGCTAACAATTTATAGAATAGGCATTATAAATGTTGAAAGCTTTTAATGTACTATTCTATGAGAACATTTTAATGCTAATCTATAACATGTGTAGATAATGTAAAGTTTTTTTTTTTTGTTTTTGGTTCAGTTACATCAAAATGACTTATTTTTCAATTTATTAAACTCAAGCATGACAAAGTTAAGTAACCATTCAAACAATTTGGGTACGAATTGCTACACAGAAATGAAACGACCGGAGTACTGGTCTACATCATAAGCTATTTATGAAAGAAATGTTGTATATTCCTAAGTGTAAATATTTTGTTATCGTTATGAGTTATTGTTAGTTCACTCCTGGTTTCTTCCATGACGACCGTGACTATGCTATTCCTTTGAGATCTAATATCTTCCCATATTTTCTGGCCAACATCAACAGTTCAGAGTACAATTCAATCTTTCTTAAAGGTCATTTACCAAAATATTTTGTGTTTCTCTTTATCTTTTAATTAATCGAACAAATTCACACAAAACTTCATAATCCGTTTCGAATTCTTCAAATAAGATTCGTGTTTTTCATGTATTTTCATTCTTGAAAATATTTTGTGGCACGAATTGATAGGCAAAGCAAACCTTCTTGCAATGTTTTGAAGAGAACATGAAAATATATTTATATGTGGTCATCATATGAAGAGATAATTCATTTCACCTTTATTCCTTGCTTTTGTTCAGAGAATTTAATTTGTCTCTGGCATTTTGACCAAACCATTCTTTAACGTTCAAAATAAGGTCAAAATAAGGTTGCTGACAAAAGAAATCAGTTGTTGTGAATATAATAGGTTAGCAGGACGCGAAAAAGTTTTCTTGCTCGCATTTTTTTTCAGCGAAATTAATTTAACAGAAATGTCTATTTTTTTACCTTGTTTTTCTCTTTTTTTTATTTTATCATTTCTCATAAGATTCTTTCTTTCCCTTTTTCTTTCTTTTTTCTTTCTTTCCTCTCCCTTTCTTTTTTCTGCTTTTCCTCTTTTCCCTCTTCTCTCTTTTTCCTCTTTTTCTCTTTTTACTCTTTTTCCTCTTTTCTCTTTTTACTCTTTTTCCTCTTTCCTCTTTTTACTCTTTTTCCTCTTTCCTCTTTTTACTCTTTTTCCTCTTTCCTCTTTTTATTCTTTTTCCTCTTTACTCTTTTTCCTCTTTTTCCTCTTTACTCTTTTTCCTCTTTACTCTTTTTCCTCTTTACTCTTTTTCCTCTTTACTCTTTTTCCTCTTTTTTCTCTTTTCCTCTTTTTCCTCTTTTTTCTCTTTTCCTCTTTTTTCTCTTTTCCTCTTTTTTCTCTTTTTCCTCTTTTTCCTCTTTCCTCTTTTTCCTCTTTCCTCTTTTTCTCTTTTTTTCCTCTTTTTTCTCTTTTTTCTCTTTTTCCTCTTTTTCCTCTTCGCTTTTTCTTTTTCTTTCTTTCTTCTGTATTATAATATTGAAAGTAATTGTGTTGTTTTTTTTTCTGCATCCTGTCAATAAACCAAGAGATCATCGACTTAAAAACAAAAAACAGGTTACAAATTCTGCCATTAAATCCCATTTGTGTCGAGACTAAGTGTAAAAATGCTTAATCAAACGTTTTACATTACAAGAGAGAAAAACAAGAGTACAACAGAAGAACTCTTTTATCTCAATTCTGCATAATCATCATTTACAATAATTTCAATATTTTTTTTTAAGACATTCCATTTTGGTTATAACTTGCATTATATTTAATTCATTTATTACCGCTAATTTGTTATTGGACATCCCTTTCTTTTGCAAGAAAGAATTTGACATTTGTGAAAAGGTTTTGTATGTTCCATCATCGTTTTAATCTATCTAACGAATCCAAGCAAACTTTATATCCGTTTTTAGTTCTTCAGATATGATTGTTTCTGCCATGTGTTTTCTTTGAGGCTTTTTGTAACACTAATAGATTTATTTTTTTTAATCGAATTCACCCCAAGCAAGGTAGTAAAGCCACTAAGAAACAATGTGTTACTGGGTGTGGAAGAATCAGAAACATTACTAATAAGCGCGAACAAAGAGTAATTAGGACAGTAGATAGCGATTGACATTTAAATTTTCGAATATTAAAGTTGAATGGTATGGATCCGGAAGGGAGTTCTACAAGAGGAAAGTGAGAGAAAAAAAATGTTAGTATATAATTTACGGTTACGTTTAACCATTACAACTGTAAATTTATGAGATCTCGACGTCAATCTAATATTGCGCTTAAATTCCATAATGCAGCTACCATAGCAAAGAGCTCATCTGAACAAGTACCATGACAGTATCTATAGAAAAGACAAAGGAAGGCAATCTTATGGCGGTGAGAAAGTGACTGAAGCCGAGGTGCCAAATCAGGACCAATAATATTGTAGATTCTTCTTTGGATTTTTTCAAGGATCTCAAGGTAAATAGCGGGAGCATTGCTTAGATTCATTGAAACCTACTTTTCCTGAATGTCCTGATGAAATGGAATGTCTTTTATGCCATCAAAAACGATATATATAATTTTAGAAAGAAAACATTATATCTTAAACTTTATATCTGAATCGTCATAATTCTCAGATCAAACATTGGCTTATGGCTGCATATACAAAATATTGTTGATGTTTCTTTGGATTTTATCAAAGAGCTCTACATATATAGCAGGCGCACCGAACCATATGCGACAACAATATTCTAAGCGTTGGCGATTGGTAAACCGGGATATGTAAGATAGATTCACAATGAACCAAATCACTTAGCGGCTGACCTAGCAAATAATTCAATATATTCTTTCCATTTCATGTCAGATGAAAACAATTGTCTCCTTGCTAATTTCACAAGTATAAATTACTCTTTGCGATTTTCAATAGTATAAAATACTCTTTGCTAGTTTCCCGATCATAAAATACTCTTTGCAAGTATTGCGAGTATAAAATATTCTTTGCGAGTTTGACCCGTATAAAATATTCTTTGCGAGTTTGACCCGTATAAAATATTCTTTGCGAATTTGACCCGTATAAAATATTCTTTGCGAATTTGACCCGTATAAAATATTCTTTGCGAATTTGACCCGTATAAAATACTCATGACAATTCCCATAACATTACCAACTATTCAAGCTTAACAACTTTAATATAATCTGTCTATATTTCTGAGATGAGGTATTATGTACAGTATTTACATTAGTCGGACTATTGTCCTCATCTTTGTCGCCATATTTGTCACAACGTTTCGGCCGTTGTACGCTCCGGCCTTCTTCAGGTGGTTGGAATTTCGTTGTGACAAATATGGCGACAAAGATGAGGACAATAGTCCTACTAATGTAAATACTGTATTTAACATAATCATAAATTCCAATTCTGAGAACTTGACTGGAATTGGAACTCAGCTCTCCGATTTCCAATTACACCACTCGCATCTCCAATTAGACATCACCTGACATTCTCAAATGGTCACCCATCTTCGAAGTGACCATGCTCGGTGTTGTTTAACTTCAGTGATTACGCAACAATGCAGTAAAGCTGCTGTTAATTCACTTATGGGACGTTAGGAATAGTGAGATGAGTGTTATGAATTTCTTTCTTATTCCAATTCCGACTTTCTTATTCCAATCCCTAGCTCGTTATCCATTACACCATTCGCACTTCCAAGCTTACAACATCAGGTATTCCCAAGCGGCCATCTATCTAAGAACTGACTAGGCTCGATGTTACTTAACTTCGGTGATGAAAAGATTTTAAATTGGTAATTTTTCCATTTCACTGAAGCAGACGGTAAAGGCACGAGAGTGTTATCGCCCCTTTCGTCTTCCCTTTTGTTCTTTTTCTTTCTTTTTTTCCTAAAATCAAACAACGCCTTTGATATATCTTCCTTCTCTTCTCTCCTCGCAATTAAACAGAAATGGTCTATTGTTTATCTGAGGCAATGGCAACGCGTGACGTACGTGTGAACTAATAAACAAGCAGAATTATAATATGATAATTCTTTTTTGCTCTCATATCGTTTTTTTTTTTTCTTTTTTCGTACGTCTCGTCCGTGGAACTCTATTCCTGTTAACTTGCAACATACGTTCTTCAAAAATTTAAATGCAACGTGAATCTCCATTTTTTTGTCTTCCCAAAACCTGTTCTTTTACTGTCGTTTTTCCTCACTGATTTCTTTCCATTCTCTTTCACCCCCTCCGTAACCCTTTTGCGTTTTAGCGGCATCATCGCCTTGCTTGGAGTGAAGTGATTAAAGATTATATATGATATATATATATATATATATATATATATATATATATATATATAAGTCTGAAGTGAACTTGAAACGTAATAGAAATGTAAAACATGAAGTGTCGTTTAGAGTAGAATTGTTTATTATGATTGGAGGGGACCCAAGATCTGAACGATGCTGATGAAACGGGGTCAGCGTTGTCGGTGAGGTTGAATTGGTTGTTATATGGCCCTGTTTTGTGACTGTTCGATACTTAGACTTCACCTTTATTAAAATGAATCGTCCAGTTTAATTCTCGCTCTTCGTACGGACGGTATTAGCCGATTCAGAAATTAACGGACATATATCGAGACACCTGAGAAAAAAACAAATGTTATTCGTTTTTCTTAAGCCATGCGAGATTAAAATGTGATGGGAAGATTTAGTGCCAGTGATTGTAATTGTGCGTTCTTACTCAACACAAGAACAGTTTTATTACATTAAGAGATTAATTTATTGTAGAATTATTTTAAAAAGTGGAAGTTTTAGGTACTTTTTGGTCAAGTTCATATCGGCGGGGTTGCAAGATTTAACATTAAGTACATTTTCAGGAGATGTGAACACATTTTACGAATATACAAATGTCATTTTTTACCATGTTACATTTGCATTCTTTAAGCTTAAACAATACAGGCTTATAATAGATCAAGACGCGCTTAAATTAGTTTCCATTGCATCTTAGATTAGCAGAAAGGCTCTCAGTAGAAACATTTTTTTTGTAAAACTTCGCGGCAGGCACAGAAATATCGTTTCAAAATGTCATTTAGCTTTCAGGCACATTGCCTTACCTATATTTTCTCTTAATTGTATTAAAATTAACAAGTTTTCCAGAAATAATCTCATATAGCGACAAAGCATTTCCAGAAGTTATTTTTTAATCAACTCGTTCGAATTATTGTTGCAAATAAAATTAAATTTAAATCGCTTTTAAATGGCCACAATGCTTTATGAAGGAGAACTGCAAAGTTCACGGCCTGACAAAGAAACCCCACAAATATTTCTGATCTGTGGTTATTTTCTTAGATTTTACTGATTGGGTCAAAACAAGAACTTTTCAGCACCCTGTTAGGTTAACTAAAAAACAGATTTGGAACGTCCCGGGTAAGAAGATAAACTACATCCGCGTCCTGGGTAGGACAATAAACTGCGATCAATACTGGAACCTCTGATTGGAAGGTTTTGAGTATTGTGGGACCACCTCTTAGTTGCTGGTGTTCCTGAGTCCACCCTGAGTCGATGTGGAAGCACCTGTTGGGTTGGGGGGGAGTCCCAACTGTAGGCAAATAGTTGACCCCTAAACTGGGGTCAAAACACTATGAAAGTGAAAAAAAAAGGTTTTAATATCGGCAATAACTTTTTGCGAAAAATTATTACCTACAATATATTTTTGAAGAAAAGAAAATATTACCAGCATTTTTGGAAAAATTATTACCATCAATAAAAAACTTTTCGGCATTAAATAACCCATTGAGGTTGATATGCAAAACAAACCAATTTAGAACTGTATTAGAAGAGCTAATTCGCCTTATCTTGAGATTTACCTAAGGTAACTCCTCTATCACTGAGTCAGTTTGTGACACAAGGTCAGTTTTTAAAGTGGGGACCCGAGTGTTTTCACTCGGGCCGTTGGTCTAAGCTGGTCTTAGCTTATCATAGATTGTCTAAGCTGGTCATATTTTGTCTGAGCTAGTTATAGCCGGCCATAACACCGTTACGTAACAGATGATACGCAATGTTGAGGGAGGTGGGAAGCAAGTGAGGGGAGAAGGTCTCCGGCACGGAACAGATACTACAACCACAGCATCTACTCCGACGAGAAAAAAAAACCTTCTCCTTTGCCAATCCATCCGGAAACATCCATGAGTAGCTAATTCGTCTAATCTTCTCTTTAACAATGTTGAAATCCATTCGTAAAGATAGCCGATCTATTTCTCAAATTACTTCTGTTATCTGTCGATTTTAAGTGTCAGAGCGAGGCGACTACATAGACTGGACCACCTAATTATTGGGGATAAAAATATCTTAGCAGATGGTAGATAGCTTTCAGTTTCCAAATTTGCATAAATGTGTTAATACATAATGGCGTTAGTAAACGACAATACGTTCTGGCCTACCATGAGACTGATTTGTCTGCAGATCTGTTAGCATTCAAACTTTCTTTGTGTCAACAAAAAGAATGGTTATAGAGCCTCACTGTAAT